TCCTGTTCAGTTCAGGATTATAGGTGTTGATATGTGAGTAGAAACTACCCTGAACATGGAAGGACCTATACCTACCTTCCCCACTGAATTTGTGGAGGTTTCTGATTAAAAGTTGTCTCTCCTATTGAATTTAGTGTAAAAAGCTGGGAAAAGTAATTGAAGTAAGTGACAGCAAAGCTTTTTCCAGCAACAACAACTATAAGAACTCGATCAGTTTAATTGATGCTCCCCTACAAGTTCTCCAGACTTCTCAGATCTTTCCACTGTTTTTCTGTGTTATAACTGGGGAGCACTCATGAACCTCAGGAGAAATCCTGCTAGTTCTACAGGTATAAGTGTGAAAATGAGGGCACTGGTGTCCACTGGACATGATAACAAATATAATAGGATAAGGAACTTTTTTCATCTGACTTTGCCAACTTCTGGACTGATTTCCCAAGAGCCCATAAAGCAGGGAATACAGACATATCTTAATGGATCTCTCCTAATGGAATTAATGGAAAAAATTATTAGCACATCCATTCACGTGGTTGTTTGTGTGAGGTGAGAATTATGCTGTTTAAAAAAATCCATATTCTGTAGATAAAAAAAAATGAAGTTCATCTGAATAACTGACATGCACACATGAGATCATTGTTTTCTTCATTTTATTTTTGTTCTACCATCACCATACCAGAAAATGTATCAGATAGAATAAAATCGTAGCTATGAAAATAACTGAAGATGGTGTAGTATTTACCACTGTTCCAGTTCCTTAGTACTGTGTGATGACTTTTGAACACAAAAAGGGAAATAAGTGAAGAGATATGAAGTACCAAGAAATGCTTCCATTTGCATTAGTGCAACTGTGCTTAATGCTGGTTTGTCTGTACCTGTTACTGGAAGTCAGTGGGGAGCATTCATTACAAGCATCTGTAAAGCTAGTTGTTAATTGAAATCTAAGTTTAGTTCAAGAAAAAAAAAAAAGAAATGCTCAAAATAGGTCTAGGAAAGAGATAAAATTTCATGGGAGTAATGTAAGTAATGTGCAATTCTCAGTAAATATAAGATACGTGTAAGACAATCTGAGGCATAGCTAAAAATTTGCATGAATGGCAACCACGGGGTTCAGGACTGTGTCTTCTGAGTTGTGTTTTGTTTGAGGTGAACTTTAATGCAGACGTGATTGTTGAGGGCAGTCTGTGCCTTAGCTTCCTCAGATTTGCTTGTGCTGAAGGGTTCCTGTCAGATTACTTGTGTGAACTTGATTAGCTAGTGTATTACAAAGTGAGAAAAATATGGATTTTCTAGACCACTGAGATTCCAAAGCAATTTGCATTCTATTTATAAATCTCAGCTAAAATCAATAATGCTTAAGGATCCTGGGAATTTAAAAATATTACTCATGATAATCAATGTGATAGACAAAGACTGTCATAAGAAGTTTAAAGAAACTCAAAGCCTTATGTTGTTTGTTGTCTAGATCTGAATCTGTGTTTTCAGCTCCAAATTCATGAACCTCTAGTGCTCAAGTTAACAATAAAATGGGGGGGGAAAAATGGTGATATCCCAGACATTTTATCAAATACCCAGTTTCAGATGCTATCGTATATATATAGATAGACAATTTTCATCTTAAATCTTCAAAAGAGCATTTAAAAGTTCATAAGTCTTGTGCTTCGCACGCTCATTGATTTCCAAAGCATATTTATTTTAATGATTCTTTTGAATTTCTTAATCTCGAGTTGACATATAAAGGTCCTAACAAAATAAAGTCAGCTTCACACTCATGTATGAAGAAAGACCACTATTCTTGGCAGAATAGTGGTAGAAGGCAGGGTAGAAGCTGAGTAAAAGTCCTAGGACTTTCTATTCCTTACTAATCAAAAAGACACAGTCTACAAAACTGTCATCAAACAACAGATGCCACAAATAGTATCAAATTAAATTAAAAAGATAAAATCATCTGAATTGTTTTAAAGATTCTGAAAGAAGTTGTATTTTAACTCAATCTGGGAACCATGGGAACTCCTAGTCTGTAATAGCAATCTATGACAGCCAGTTCTCCCCACAAGGAGGAGAATTAGGTGTAGTTTATGGACTAGTGCAGGGTAACTACTCATTTTGTTTCTAGTCCTTTGATCTTACAATGTCTGACTCATGAATGTCTTTGATATTGACAAGTATTAACGTGAAATATTATCTATTCTAGTCTGCTGCAGAATTTATCTATAGAAACATGAGTGTTGTTCCATAATAAGAAAGGTAGACCTTTCGGGGAAGCACAAACCACATTTTTGCTGGGTATAGAGCATAGATGTCAGAGAATTCCTGCATAAACAGTGGAGTGATAGGGAGCCTTTTCCCGATTCTAAAACCATCCCTTACCACTTCAAACTGAGTAGTCACTACACAAGTTACAGAGCTCTGGTAACTTCAGTACATTTGCCTTTCGGACAGTCTGCTGTGTGGAGTGAAAAGATCCCCTTCACTGGTTTTCTGAGCATTTATTTTTGCATTAAGGCAGCTTCCTTATTTATTCATTGAATTGTTAAAAGCACTGTGTGTGATTGCAGGGCATTTTACAAGCTCTTTTTCAATATACCTTCAGTGCATGCTGCTCAGAAAGGAAAGGAAAAGGACTGGGCATGAGACTCATATGGTTGCCATTTTATTAAGCACTGATGGTTTTCTCTGCTCTTCAAAAAGTACTGTAGAGTAACCACCACATGGAGTTTTGCAAGCATTTTGAGCAGTGCCTCTTTTAAAGTATTTAAGTCATACCGCATAGCCCTGTCAGTATTCTTCTTTATCAGTTGAGTTCACCCAAACCTTCAAGTGTCTATCTAGTTTCTCTTATATAAATAATAGAATACTCAGGTTCATGTTCCTGTCTTCAAAAGTGAATTTTTCTCTGTTCATCTCTCTGAAGAGGGAAAAATTAGGATTTTTTTATGAGCTGCCCATGTTGTTTCATATCCAACCTATCTTCATCTCCTCTCTCAACATAGACCTTAAACTTCAAAGCACTGAAATTGGGGGAACTTTTCTTTTCAAACAAAAGATGTGAGATCTGTTTGACATATGGATATGAAGAACAACAGTCAGACTCTGAATTCAGAAAGTAATGTTAGTAACAGAAACTGTGCTTTAAGCAGTTTTCAGATATGACAAAAACTGTAAAATATAAGAGAGCACTTGCCACTTTAACAAATGAGTGAAAATAATTACACTTAATTTGTTCATGTTTTGTTTTTATTTTCTGAAACAGAAAAGTGAATTTGGTAATTTGCCTTGTGCCACAAAATTCTATGCTCTTCATGTCAAAGAAAGGGGTTGGCCTAAGGAGATGTCAAATAGCTGTATTTGTCCTGTGTGGACTGAACTAGTTAAATCATTTTGAAATCCTGAGAAATCTGAAATACTGACAAGCATGAAATTTGCCCATAGTGCATGTTCACACGCTTATCAATCTGTTAATTCTCAGAAAAGAATCTCAGCAAAATGACTGAACATGTGAATTGACCAACCTACACAAAAGTCAATATTTATTACCAGCACAGCAGAGAATTTAAAGCTATTCCAAAACTGCATTCTTCAATCTAAAGTCTGCAATGCAAGGGGAAAAAAAACCAAAAAAACAAACAAAACAAAATACAAAAAAAACCCCAAACCCTGAAGCATGTGATTGAGTCTGTCTTTACTCAAGAAAGATTAAGCAGGTGAAGGGCCTATTTCAATGTAGACAGAGTATTAACCCAAAGGAAGTCAATAAAACGCTTCACATAAGCAGCTGAAGAATGTGAACAAGAAGCCCCAGTCTTGCTTAATAACTATAAACAATGTGTTTGTCATCTACACAGCAATCATTATTTTAACATGATCCATTTAAAAATATATCATGCTTGCCTTCTGAAGCCAGAACAGCTGTAGGATAAATCCAGCAGGTCTCAAGAGAATCTGTACTCTCAGGGTAACTGTAGCTTTGACAGATAAAATATTGAAGCTGAGCTGTTAAAAATAAGCTTTTTAGTAGTAGTCAAAAAAAAGGTCCTTTGAGATCACATGAGCATGCTTGAGAGTGGCTGCCTTACAGAAGCAGCTTCCTTACATGCTCCTTACAAACTCATATCATGAGTTCTTAATATGCAATTTTCTTCCTTGTTTTTGGGGTTTTTTTTTGGGGGGGGGGTTGGAAGGGGGTGTTAAAATTTAGAACAGGAACAATTTAGAATGTAACTAACATTTTCAAAGCATAAACTTTTACAGTATTAGGATAATTATATAACTATGAGAAAAGAAAAAAATAAGAACTGATGGAAACTCTCTTCCTTAGGTTACATTTCTCAAGTATTGTAGAACTATATAGCAATATCATATTGCATAAATTCAGAGCACATTGTCTCAATACAGCAACTGTCTCTTTGTGAGGATTATTAAGATCCATGTGGGCCTTATCAATCTTTCTGAGTGTATTATCCTCCAAAAAAGTTGTTGTTGAGCCAGGAAAGCTGTAGATGCTATTCCTTTACTTTACTTTTCTTCTAAAACAGAGCAACCCCCCAAAGCACATTAAAAGCAGTAAAGACAGTAACTTTTACAAGTAAGTTCTTCTTTGACAGAATTAGCTTTTCATTCATATACAGGTGTCCAGAAATAAATCTCCTACATAAATTCCAGTGTTGTTGATAGAGTATGAGTTTTTTCAAGAGCAGAACTTGACATTCTACATCAGCACCTTTTCATTTGTGTAAATTCAACACAAAAATATCAGAAACACAGAAAGTTTTGGTTCTGCTTTTGTTTTAATTTCTCAGTTTATTAATTGTACATCCTGTCCCTAAAATATTACCCTGTTGTTACTCTTTCTGTACTTTATAGAAATAATTTTTGAAAATCACATTTGATGCTGCAAAAGAAGCCTCTCTCCATGTTAAAAAAGAAATTCTAAAGTTTTGCATGATCTGTACTGAATTGTTGGCAGTATGATCAGGTTTTTAAGCATTGCTTTTCTTTTTCAGGAAAGCATAGATTTGGGTGAGATCATGTTTTCCCTTTGTTATTTGCCTACTGCTGGGAGAATGACATTGACAGTCATCAAATGTAGGAATCTCAAAGCAATGGATATAACTGGAGCATCAGGTGAATCTACTTCTTTTTTTAAATAATAAGGCAGAGTTTCTTCAAGAAGGGGATGAATAAGAACTCCTTTGGTTTTCTGTGTTTAACATGATTGTGGAATGGAAATAGCAGGAGAATGGATATAGGCTCTGTTTAGATCCACTGGCTATCTTTGGTCTGGCAGTCACTCTGTTCAGAATGCCCATACCTTTCCTTTGCATTTACAGCATGTTGAAAGCAACGCTTCCCAGGGTCACTAAAACCTTTGAAATTTCCTATCTTATCAATATTACATTCCTAAACCAAATATTGTCCTTATGCTACACTTTTGAATGACTTTGAGTCCAAATGCATGCAACTGATTATCTGTTACTCAGATCCCTATGTCAAAGTGTCACTGATGTGTGAGGGACGAAGACTGAAAAAACGGAAAACCACCACAAAGAAGAACACCCTCAATCCCGTTTATAACGAGGCCATCATCTTTGATATCCCTCCAGAGAATGTGGACCAGGTCAGCCTCTCCATTGCAGTGATGGATTATGATCGGTAAGCACAGTTTGCCTTCTGACTGTTAATCATCAGTGAGACGATACCTGATCATTGCAAGTCATTACTTTCTGCCTCCTTGAATTTGTAAGCAGCTTCAGTGGCACAAAAGATAAAGCTTTGGGGTTTTTTTCCTGGAGAGGTTTAAAGCTTCCACACCTTTTAGCCTTTTATCTGTGCCATAAATAACTGTGATGAGGGAGAAACATGGCTTAATCTTCCTATGGACACTAGCCTTTGCAAACATTCCTGTACACATCTGGTGGCTGGACTATGTAAAAACTTTATAAATCAGGTACGTCTTCCAGTTTAAAAACATCCCTCACACCTCTTATTTCTATTTAAATGGCAGGTATTTGAAACCAAAGAAAATCTGAATGACTGAAAAAGAATTAGATGCTAATTGCCACATTGGAATAAGTAATAATTAATTCTTTGGTTGATTCAATAAAGTAACCTTTGAATATGTAACCTTTGGGTTCAGCCCTTGCTGACAACATATCTAAGCCTCAAATATCTGTGTCCTCCCCCAAGACCTGACAGGAAGAGACTCCTGCTTAGAGTGAGTCAAGGACTGCAGGTTGAACTAGACAGTGACTGACAGAATTCTGCCTGAGTCAAGTCTGCTTCATTCAAGTGCTATTAGTAATGAGTTCTTGAGATTGCAGGGCAAATAAATGCTGAAAGTCCAATTTAGTAACATCACCCTTCATTCAGACTGTTTTCCTTGCCGTCAGATTTCTGGTTGTCCTCCAGTTTCTGTCAGTAAGACTTTCTCTGTCAGATGTGAAAGAGGCATTGTGGTCCTGTTAGTTGTACAGTAACTTGCACAGCAACTTGCACACTTTCAGTCCTCCTCAGCTGCTCCTTTCTCAGCATTTGCTAAGAGGAAATTAGAAAACATTATTGTAAGGTACATACAGTCAAGGTACAGAAAATTGCTTTCTGGAGTCCCTCAGTAAGTCTATGGCACTGCTAGGAGTATGAGGTATTAAGGTATAGCCTATTATAACTTTGATGCTTGCCTTTCACATTTTTGACCAAACTTCCAAAGATCACAACAGCTAGGACTGCAAAATAGTTTATGAAATGATGTCCGAAGGATTTGCAGCATGAAATGTATACCCCATCATTTTTACCTTCCTCTCCCACAAAATTCAAACATGTTTTCTTTATAGATAATTTTGTGTATTATGATCTTTTTCTGTCCATGTGTCCTTTGGGTTGTAACCTTTTAATGGCAAAGGTTATATTTTCATTACTATTTTTATAGCTGCTAGAAGCAGTCTGATAGTGGCTGGAGGTTTTTGATGTTACCAATACAGAACTTAATATTACTATACTACCATTAAAACTAATATCTGTAACAAATGATGTGAAAACTTTGGTCATGTACTCTGTGCCACACTAAACCAGTAACAGAATTGTACATCAGATGTTATTAAAACTATTTTTATTAAAAACAAATTCTGTCTCTCTACAATTCTCAGAGTAGGGCACAATGAGGTCATTGGGGTGTGTCGGACAGGCATTGATGCTGAAGGGCTTGGAAGAGATCATTGGAATGAAATGTTGGCTTACCCACGTAAACCAATAACTCACTGGCATCCACTAGTGGAGGTAAGAAATAGAAAATTGTCTCATTCTCAGCGTATTGAATGGTTTTGCCTTTCACACTTACGTGCTTCTGAGAATAACAAAATCAGTGCAGCATCTAAATATCAGCTACAAGATCCTTAACACAACCTAAATCTAGGTGCATGGGTTTATTGATTACTTAAAGGGACCACTTCAAAAGTTTCCCTAATGCTCTAGCAGCACTGCAAAATTACATTAAGACATTTAGAATTTCTAGAGTTTATGATAAGGAACTTACATCTACTTACAGATCATTTGCAAGAATTTCAGAAGGTATCATGTCCTATTAAAAAACCTTTAGCATGGACAGTTGTTGCTAAAACACTAATCTGAAATTGGCCAGTGAATTAGGCTAAATTCAAGCAACATGCCAGCAGCAACTTCCACAGCTGTTCAAAAGACACTTATTGGAAGCTTGTTCAAATGCATGGGTCATTATATCTCTGTGTCCCTGGACATAGGCTTCAGGCTTCAGGCCACATATTGCTGGTGTTCTGCATACAAAATGCTCATAGCTTTGGATTCAGAAAGACACATGTGGAAGCCTTAAGAAGCATCTGGCCTTGTTTTGGGAAACAAAGGACACACTGTTTAGCTCATCCCAAAAGCAATCTTTGTTGAAAAATGAGTAGCTGTCTGAGGCATCACAGCCATTTGTTTTCCTCACTCTGTAGCACATGGCTGCACAACATGTCTGGTGACAGGTAGCAAAAGCCTAAAATGAAGACTTCAGTAAAACACCTAAAGAAGAGTGTGGGGGCAAGGAAACTCAGTCAAGGCAGCAGAGAAAGTTTTAGAGGTTTATAACTCTCTTTGGTTTATGTAGGTTTGAAGACAGAGGTACCACCCCTGACTGGTGAAATAAACCCACTTGTGTGAAACAAGTCAGAGGCATTTTTAGGAGGTCACTTAAGAAATTTTCTTTCCATTATTAGTTCTGCTAGAGACTTTGATGCTACAGACTTTGACCCAGAGGCTAGGAAGGGTCTGGGATTTGAGTCCTTTTTTGAGAGAGTCTCTTATCCTCTGAAATGAGTGTGGTACACAGCCAGATTTGATGACATTTGTAAAAATAACACTTTTCTTGCAGCTACCTGGCCGAGCAACCAGTTTTGATAGCCAGGGATCCTGTTCATCACCAAAACCTCCACTTACGCCCTAAGGAACAAGAGTGGATTCATCATGTTCGGTGTCCAAAGCTCCCTGTCGTCTACATAAACAGAAGGTTCGGCTTCCACAGATGAACTGTATCCATATTTTTTTATTAAGATACATTTTTCCTATTCTAAGTCTTATTATGCAGTTTATAATAATTTCTTAATGTATGAGTGAAGCTGACTCAAGTAAAATATAACCCTTCCTTGTGCAAATTCATTCACCTATTTTATTGCTGGCATGTATCCAGTGTCATAGCCAAGCACTGTTTTGATATGACCTGTATCTTTGCATAGACAAAGAAATCAGAGAAAAAAAAAATCCCTTAAGCAATTCAAAAGTACTGCAGCTTGTAACACCTAATTCTTTTGAGGGAGAGCAAATAGTATATATATATATATCATATAGTAAATTTCTTCTAAATTGCACTAAATCCTGAGAGACTTTGCAAGATAGCATTCCAAACTGAATGTTGCATGAAAAAACAACTGTTGTCATGTTTTGAGTGTAAAATCAGCTCATTCCTCGGGCAGGGAGAAAGGGCTGATCAAAAGTCCACCAAAGCCAATGACAATGACCTACTGGCTTTGCTGGGTTTTAGTTCAACCCTTATGGAACAGGGACCAGAACTGGATCTATGCAGTTATAATCTTCCAGCAATCACAATGCCGGCTGCCCCTTGTTATCCTGTCCAGCAAAGCAGCCAGGCAGGTGCCCCCAGGCAGGTGGCTGCCCTCAGGAGATGGTTTGCTTCAGCTGCCCAGTGGCTGACGAAGAGCTGTTTGGGGTGTCTCTGTGTGGCACTGACAGTCCGTGTACGGGTATCGCTGTGGAAAGCTAATGTCTCTGCAGTGAGGTGTGTGGAGGTGGATGCAGCTCCACAAGGATGTAGGTGTCTCCTGATGAGGTGCATCCAGCCCCTCAAAACAGCCCAATTGTTGCTGACAGTCCTTGCTTGATGTTTACACAAGTCAAACTAGTGTAAACTAGGAGAGAATGCTCTGAAGTAAAGGAGTTGATTTAATGTGTTTTATCTGTTCAGAAAATTGAACAAATACTGCTGTTACCCAGAACACTTTTCAGATTCTATGGTTTAATGTGATAGATTTAGATTACTTTGAAGTTATTTTGACTGTGTGCATAGTGCACGTGGAATAGCTTCTGTTCACCTGCTGGATATCTCTAGAATTATATACTAAATATGAGTTTGAGATATGTTTTCTGTCAGTATATGGAGAGAGAAATTGAAATGTAGCTATTTTATAAACTAGTAAACTCATTTATTAGAATACACAGTGACAGCAAATGCAACAAACTGTTGGTTGTAGTCAGATGCTTTAAAAATTAGAAGAGAACTACACATTATTTTGTAAATTTATCTCTTTTAAACACTGTAGTTTACCTCAATTGGATAAATCAGATAGTTATTTCCTTTTCTCTTTTTACTATTTTTTGTCTTTCTGTGAAGAGCATGGCAAAGACTGCATAATTGGGTCTGAGATTTTGAAAGCTGAACTGTAACTAGAAATAAGTTGAGGTAGTGGCACTTTTTGTATCTTTGCAATATATAAAGAAAACTGAGGAGATAGTGTTTCCCAAAACAGCATTTTTACAGAAAAAAGGTGTCATACAGAGGATTGGGTTAATATAATGAAAGAAATTATGAGAATTAATCTAGATATGAAGGGAAAAGGTAGTTTTGGCAAAATTCTGAAGAACTATTTTGGTTTGGTTTAGCCTGGCTGACACAGAATATATTTATGAAGATCCAGTCCTAAGGCAGTCAGTCATGACTTGAAGTGTCTTAACTGCTCCAGGAAAGTTAGGAAGGCTGGTCCTAACATTGTAAGTGTTTCTAAGTCAAAAAAAGGAGGCGGGTTTTACACCTTGCCTTCTGTGACTACAAACACAGCAAACAAGGAAATAAATACAAAAATCAATCTTTCAGACAGACTTTACAAATTAATTACAAAAAAAAAAAAGATAAAAGCAGAAAAAAAGAAAAGGCTCGAACCCAAGTTTAAGAATGTTTGTTTCAGGTTGCTTTTCATGGCTTCTAGGCAGAAATGGTTTCTCCCAGAGAGGGTTGGTAATTCTGAACACTAATTCTCCCTGCTTAAGATTTCATCACCATAAATACAGAGTGGCCTTGCAGAATTTCATTCCTTCATTTGCTCTGGGTGAGTAATTTTTTTAACAGGAGAACAAGCTCTCCTCTGTGAGCTTTTTCCTCCTATCATTATCTTCATGAAATTCTGTGCCCTAGTTCATTTTCAACATGATTCTGCAAGGTTGATATAGAAACAGATATATATATACATATATGTGGAGATTGAAAAACTATTTTGTGTATACATTTATCTTAATATAAATTATATTAGCAGTGGCCTTTGTGGCCTAGAAAATACTTTTTGTAATGTGGTACTGTAACAGTTAACTAAATATTCTTTGCACTTTTTTGCACCTAATATCCAAAAAGCTAACAATTTCATGATCAAATGTAGCATAATTGTTCAGCAATGAGCAACATATTTTTAACTATTTCATTGTTCTCTCTGAGTATTCTGTATGTTTCATCATAGGTAGGAAGGTATTTCAAAATTCTTTTTCTTAAATTTTAATTGTTGTCAAATACCAAAGGCTCAGTTTGTGCCCTCTTGTTGTGTTATTTTTGATATTGTTAATAACAATAGTGAATGACTTCTGTGTCTAAACTTGATTGATGGGTGCTCTGCATCTAGGAAAAATCAGGCTGCAAAATTATTGGCACACCTAATTTCAAAGATGATGCCCTAATAAATTATATTTAGTCCCTTAACGGCGATTAATAGAATTCATGCAGAAGATATTTTTTCCCAACTGCTTTCTTAACTATCTCAAAAGACAGAGTATACACTCAGTATAACCAATCTATTGGCTTTAGAGCCTGGTTCACAAGTTAGTCTGAGTGTAATCACAGAAGCCTTGAGGAAAAGCTTAGCACAGTTTAAGTCAAGAAATGTGTTGCTTTACGTATATCTTTATTAAGAAATTTAAAATATTTTAATTTGGAGAAGTTGTAAATTTCCTACTCCCACCCTGAATTCTTTTTTGATTTTGTTGTTGCTTATCCACATTTCTACCATATCTCACACATTAGTCTAAATTGAGAAAAATGAAATCTGGCAAATGTTTGGTGTAAAATATATTGTAGTAATTTTACAACCATTTGAAAAGCTTAGTTTCGTAAAAACCTGAATTATTTTTATTGAAGCAGTTTACTGGAAACAGCAAGAGTACTTAATAAGAATTGTATTTAGCATGGCATAGCTTTTTTATGCTCAATAAGATGCTCAATAAGATGTCAGTCACTTACTGCACTCCATGACCTCAACTTTAGGTGACAGCATTGCACACTTCTGCTCATATGGCCCTTCTCCTCACCCTCCCAGCCAGCAACTACCCCTATCCCCACCATCTTTTGTCTATACTGAACTTCTGTTCAAGGAGTAAAAAACTGACCCTTACTTTTGTCTGCAGTGCTCAAAACTGAGTCCTGGCCTTAAAAAATTCGCAATATGAAACATGTGGGATCTTGACCAAAAGGTGAAGAATGCACCACTCATTTTCAAAGAGCTGTCAAGGAAGTAACCTCCTTTCTCTACAGTCCTTTGTGAGCATCAGACATTCATACATCAGCAACCTTGCCTGATGTTCTGCTTTGAACAAGCCCTTAAAGAGCAATATACATATCTCAGGGATGTGTATATTGGTCAGAGACAGATAAAGTGGTCAGAAATTCCGCCGTAAAATTTTTTCTTCAGTATATGGAATTCTTTGGACTTCTTGTGTTTAAGTGACAAAACTATACATTTTTCTTAAAGAATCCCAACCACATTCAATATTTTTGAAGAAAATGTTGAGCAAACAGGGAATGTTTCCGTTGAGTTGATTTTTTCCAAGGGGATAAGCAATCACTTACCTAATTTCTTTCTATGGATGCATTTTTGGAGCAATATTAAGAAAACTTTGGGTTTCAAAAACAAAGACATTTGATCCATCCTTTTCTCCTCCTTCTTTGTTTTTTTTTAATTGGCTTCAATGTAATCTCCTTTTAAAAATATTTAACATGATGATGCACAACATACACATGATAGTCTAGTTCTAAGATTATTTTGCTGTGTCTTTTTATAAACTTTTATATGTACTAACTTTTTATTACGCTCCATTAATTTAACAAGCTTTATACATCTGAAATCATTTGACTGTATTTTTTAAGTGAATAAACACTTAAAAGGAGGGTGTTTTAGAACTCAGCAATAGAGTTCTTCTCCTGCTGAAAATGTAAAGTTTTTCAGAGATCCATAAATGTGCCTGCAAAATTTGAAAATCACCTTATTGGAGCATGCAAAAACCTAGGTTTGCACATACAAGTATTTGCACTTGCTAAATGTACAATCACTATTATTTAGCACTTCTCTTACAACGGAACACCCACACCTAATCAGAAATATGTTTCAATTCATAATAAATACTTGACAAATCTGTGCTGAGTGATAGTTCTTTGACCTGAAAAGTTCATATGACATTATTTCTACAAATGAATGTGCTTGAAAATTCTGTAGGTGTTAAAATATGATTTATGTGTTACTCAGACAGTGAGGTGACTTTTGGACTAAGCTCATGTAGTATGCGTTAGACCATCCAAAATATGGATAAAATGTAGTATATATGACAGGAGTATTAATGCATATTTTGATGGGAAATATTCTCTCGTATTCACACCAGTGGAGATTTAGTTTAACCCTTTGCTTGAGATTCACTTTCATCTAGCTTCTGAGGCTTGCCAGTCTAAACTGAGCTCCCTGGTGTCAGAAAACAGCTAAATCATGGCACAGAGCAGACCCCAGAGCTAAGAAAGACAAAGGAAAATGAGGCAGTAGGCACAAAGCTGTTCGATGCAACTGCCAGTGCTCTGAAATGGAAACCTTCCTTTCGAAACATAATAATTACAATAGTCATATCATTTGTCCTTTCTTTCTGTACTGTAAAACAGGACAAAAGAAGCATGTCACTGAAAAAGCATCAGCATTAGGCATAGGAGATAATTGAGGTGCTGATCAGAGCCATTTGCCATTTCCAAGGCAAATAATAACTTCATTCCAAAAAGTATCTTTTGTTTACTCATCCAAATGAATAAACATCTCCTGCACAATTCCCCTTTTCCTTAACTCCAGCTGGAAACTGGCAAATTTTAACAGCATGCAGGAAACCAAGAGCTAGAAATCTAAGAGAAAGTGAAGTTGGAGGTGGGATTTAAAATATCACAGGGGAATCTGGTCAGGGAAATGGAACTAACACCTTCAATCTTGTGCTGAGTGCTAGGGGATGCTTGATGATAACAGGTGCTCAGGGCTGTGATTTTATGTTTTATCTGATAGTACCTCTACAGTGTTGCTGTTGCTGGGAAACCTCTTTACTGGTGCAGAGAGGAGAATGCCTCTGGTATTGCTATGTAAATTTTTTCCTCACAAGTATAGACTGTAACTCTTATGTCACATGTGACTCAGTCCTCTGGAAGGGCAGAAAGCATGTTAAATTTGCAGAACAAGAAAAATCAATTAAAGTTTGGCACTGTGTCATCATGAGGACTATTCACTTTGCTGATACTAAGGACAAGTGTTGGTGCCTTACTGTTCCAAGGGAGGACATTTCCCACAGCACTCTGTATGTCTAAGCCTGTGTTGCCGTATCAACATTGTCAAAATATAACTAATACATATAAATACAGGTTATATAGGTTACCAGAACACCAAAGCTCTCTCCTGTGGGAAAGGCATGATGAAACATAAGACAGTGTGCTCTGGAATTTGGATCCGCAGGAAGTCACATAACTGCTGTGATGAAAGTGGAGCTGCTCTGTAATAATTTATGAATACAATATGTTGCCTTGGCTATTGGTCTTGAATTGAGTTCACAAAGTAGACTTTGGAGAAAAACAGAACAGGCAGCAGATCTTTGACAAGGGGACAACCTCTCAAAAGAAAGTGAACTTTACAAAATGTTAATGTCCATCTTAGTGTTCTGGGAGAATCTACTGATGATAGAGCCACTCTGAAAAATGCATCTCAACTAAGATGTTGAAATCTCAAGCAGGCATCAGGAAAAAAGCATAGGAAAGACCAAGAGATCTGATTGAGAAAGGACATGATTTATGACTGAGCAGGCTGGGAATGCAAGCTACTGCTGTAGTTTACAGAGAAAATAAGCTTGGTTACTCTGCCTCTAATGGATAGGAAAGCTTGAGGCAGGACAGATACGCATATAGATTGTCATTTTCAAATCCATTTATTTAAAATATTTAAGTTTGCATATTTAAGCTTAAATATTTAAATACCATTCTATTTTTAATGAAGCGGAGTATTCACAGACTCCCTGAAAGAAAAGTTGCAAATCCATTCAGACTCCTGGGCTGGCACAGTTATGAGAGAGACAGCAAAAAGAAAGGAGAATTGTGAAATCCTACCTCTCCCCTGGATAGGTGTAGTCAGGAAGACTGGTAGAAAAAGAGAACTGAAGACAGACCAAGGAAAGGACAAGGCCACAGCTATCTCATGACAACTTCAGGGTTCACATAGTCATTTATTAGACAGAGCATAACAAGAGTGCCAGAAGCATGTTTTCATGGCAGCAACATACCCTTTATACAGTTTTTCTCTCCCTCAAAATACAAGCATATAAGTGGTTTTGAGACATTCCTTTTAAGTAGTTCAGGATCTTTTCACACCTTAGAAATTCAAACCCCTGAAGTAAAGCAAATCTATCTGTGCATCTACTCATGAAAAAAAAAAAAACCAACAAAAAACAGGAAATCAAAACTTTCTGTAAAATCAATAAAGCTCTAGAATATGCTTAAGGTTGCTTTCTGGTGTAGAATAATTGTATAGATTTAAGATCTGATGTCTTGAGACCTCTTAGGCTAAAAATGAAAGGCTGGTTTTCCAATTATAAAGCAATATTTTCTGACAGGTGTAGAATTCCTAGTTGCCTGCCCCTGTGTGATTTTGAATATCAGAAATGTTCTGACAAATGCTTGTCAACATAACAGACAGACATTTTAGGCACTTAAGATTAGCATTGCCAGAAAAGAATCTGTTTTTTTGGGACAGTTTCTAGGTTAATTTCGGGGGACAAGAGATTGTAGGTTGTTCCCTGTTCTCGTGAAGCAGATACATTTCCATAAATACAGTCCGCTGGAGGAGAGAGATAAAGAGTGGGGTTGCTTTTTTCAATATGCTATGAGTTGAGACTGATAATAGTTTCACAAGTGAAGAGGACTGAACAGGAAGACATTTAAAACCTTTTGTGACAATTGAGTCATGAACAGGAGAGAAGAGAGAAGGGGAAAAGCCTATTGAGTATGTAAAGAGCCCTTTAGGAAAAAAAACCCAAAACCCTGTTGAAAAGTGGAAAATATAAAAAGGGGTTGAATAGGGAGTCTTTTCAAAGACAAACATGTATGTGTAGCAAACATTTCAAAAAAAGGGGGATTTTTAATGTAATTCTCCTAATTTATATCTTGTATGGCCATTTGCAACCTCGCAAGGTTAGTGGGAGCCATGCTATAGAACATGAGTCAGTTATTAAAATAAAACCAGCCCCCCACACCACAGATCATGATCACAGAGGATTCACTGTGCAAAGAGCACTAGTGAATGTGGATGTGCTCATGGCACATCCTTCCTCCCTGATCTTTTTCTTTCAGCATAATTGAGGCAAAAAAGGGATGCTGCTAGCATGCACTAAACACATCCTCTCTACATGTTGTAATGGCCCCCTTTTTTATTTGCACCTGGCAAAGGTTGGAAAATCTCCAGTAGGTGAAAAATAATTTTTATATAATGTCACCTCTTCACATTATCAAAGCTTCTGACAATCAGTACTTGAATTACCAATAGAAAACACCTCTGAAAATGCTGCTGTTGTACACAAGGTACTGGCTTTGTTTTCAAGTCAAGCCTAAACTAATACCACACAATGATGGACGAGTTGTTGGGCCGTTGCAGGTGCTAATTCTCTGGTGACTCAAAAAAATGAAGTCATAATTACGGTATATTTCCCACCTAATACCCCACGGGCCTTTGTGTATGAATAGAGTCCTGGAACTGATGTCTCAGACAAATCCCATCTCCTCCTGTTCTTCCTATTCATGGAGGTTCAGCTGAATAATGAATTCTTATTCCTTTGTCCCAAATTGTCATATAGTGCTGGGTGTACTGTGAATGTTTTGTCCTGGGAGTGGCTGCCTCTTATTGAAAATCACAGTGACCAATAGAGGACCATTACTGCCCTCACCACAGATTTCTGAGGCTTAATTGTGTAATAATAGTTATGAGGGAAATGACTGCATAGCTGAACAAGACAGAGAATTGCCAGCTGTAATTATTTTTGTCAAATGGGTGTGTGTGTATCTTTCTTCTTTATGTAAATGGAGAATTGGCTACCCAGAAAATTAAATAGGAAATTTTGTGGACTCTCCAAAGAGCACTTCACACTGTTACATTTATTCCTTTCAACCTTTATGTACTCTAAGTGTTTAATGATCTTAATTATCCTTATAGCACAAGAACCTGATTCATTTATTTAAACCTACAACCTTTTCAGTTCTTAGTCCACAAAGGTAACTTTGGGCTAGAAAATCAAAACCCCTAACAAAAAAAATATAGCTTTATCTTAGCCAACAACTGAATCTTCACAGCTGGACTTTTTCTGTGTTACTCTGAAAGGGAGCCTGGCACTATTGCACTTTAGCTACTTACCAGTAGCAGACAAACAATTGTAGGTCATAACCAGGTTTCAGAAAAGTTCTAAGGATTAACCCCTAAAATCCTGGGTCTGATTCTGCACGCCCTCCAGACCCAGGGCAGCCCATGAAGTTGAAGAGGGCTTGATGATGAGCAATCTGTCCTGAGAAAAGAGATTTCATTCAACTATACCAACACATCTTCTAGATTTTTCTTGCCTTGTTTTATGCACTGTTGTTAAAAATGGACTTTTTCTTAAGACAGAACTTTATAATTTAATCTCTAGCAGGGCAAAATGTGGTACTAAAGTACCAATCTACTCATGCACTGACCATAGTATTGATGCAAAAAAATTAAAAAGCCTTTTAGCAAAAGTATCTGTGGCAGCAAAACATAAAGATGCTGACACATAGATATTTTGCTTTTTATGTGACTTTTTCTTAACAGAATTAGAATACTCCAGCTCCAATTTTGGGCTATCTCAAGAAAAACACAAAATGGTAAATGTATTTAATGTAGTTTTAATATTTATTAAACTAATATAGCACATAAAAGGAATTCAATTCAGCCTCTTAAGGTGTAGTATTAACAATACATATTTATATATTTTGCATTGCTGCAAAAGCTTACTAAAATCTATTCATGACCTTATTTCCAATATACAAAAATTGTTCTTGTGTTAATTAAAATGAATTTTTTTTTTAATATCGTGACAATAGACCATTAAATATATAAACCAAAAGCATCCTGTAGGTCTTTTTAATATGTCATTTCATTTCAAAGCACAGCATTATGTACTTGTCCAGCCCAACACTGAAATCCAGCAGGACCACTGCTGTTGATTTCAGTTCACTTTGCATTAGGTTACATGTGGTGATATATCATAGCATCTTATGAAATGAACCCCATAAGGAGTCTCAAGGCAAATAGAATGATTTCTCTTACATCCACCACGGATTTTTGTCACTTTCTGACAAATCAGGCTATATTAGAAGTCTTCAGTGTATCTCTAAGGTATGAACTATTATTGCAAATGCTGATTTTACTAATACTGGTAAGGAATTTGAGCCTCAGCTGCCTGATTTAGAAAATAAAAATGTCTAGTTTATGTAGTCAGGCATGGAGGTAACATATATTTACAGGACTTTTCCTTTTTAATGGTGGCCTACAGGTTTCCACATAATGCCATCTTCTTTTTGAAGCTCAGAGGGTGTCTGTACAGACTAGTTCTTATGTAACTTTTAGATAGTCCTGTTGCACATTAGATATAAAGCACTTCTTTTCAGTCTATATTTCTATGGAAAAATATTGAACAAAATTTACTTTTGTTAAATAAATAGAAAACTATTTCTCGAGAGAAGGAAAAAATATAGATATATATTTAATATTTTTCCTTGTTTCTCTTTCTTCCAAGTGTGGGTCTACTTTCTTTTTATTCTTCTGTGTTTAGGTGAGTAGTTTCAGTAAGATATTCTGGAGTTAAATGCACATGTCTAAGGATGGGATATGGCTAGTTCTCTACCCTAGAATAGGCATTGTTGGCGTCCTGAGCTGGAAATGCACTTATAACTTGTACTTTCTCCACTTTCTGGTGGAAATCAAAAGGGCCTTTATTCAGCAAACCATGTGAAATATTTTTCAACTATGACCTGCTAATCAAGTCGCTGTACAGTCACAGTGTCTTGGGTGTGCACACTGAGCAGAGCAGCCACTCAGGTGCTTTGCTGGCTGGGATTGGAATGATGTGGGAAGTCTCACAGCCAGTCTATGCTAAAAGCACATCTCAGCACCCTTCACACTAGACTAACCCTGCTAGCCAGGATGAGAGTGGACAAAGCCAAATTGCATCTCTTCGTTGTCCTGCTCTGCCCAGTCCTCACCACCCTAGGCAGCAGGACTGCAGCACTGGTTCCTCTGAGCCCTCCAGATGCTCCTCTAGCCACTACAAGAGGAGTCCAAAAAAGCTTCTCCTCGCTTTTCATGAGCTTGTAGTCCATGCTGCATTCAAGCTGACTGACTTCAGTGTGCCCCTCATGAAAATTGAAGCGGGGAAAGTAGAATAGAAATTAGCCACATCTTTTCTTCATCACAGAACAATATGTTTCTCTAGTATATGCTTGTTTGTGGGGAAGGCATTCTCCAGAGTGTATGCTTCAAAAGGTAGGAAGTTAAAATGGAGTTCCTGGCCATAGGAAATACTGACTGCTAAAAAAACTCCCACTCAATATTTAAACACTTCATATTTTGAAATATTAAAAGAAAGCATACAACATAATGTCTGTCAGAATAAACATATTTGCTGTGACAATGAGAGGTTCTGCATTAGGCCCTAACTGGCCCAAACTCTAATAGAACTCCCTACCTTTAAAATAATCTTTATGATTAGATCAGAAATATTGCCAAGTCTATGTAGCTTACAAAGAACTACAGAGTTCTTCTAAGCTTTTGTTTCTTCTTGCTATGTGGTGTTGGCTGACCAAGATCTAATATTAAATTCCTGACTGTTTTAGTACCCTTTATTCAGTGTTCATGATGTGACTTTTTAAATGAAGTCTGTGATTTGATACCTAGACATTGTTCAAGTCAATATCCTTGGCTTCTGCATTATAGAGACAAGAAAACAAAACTTTTTGAACTTGTGTTACTGGCTTTTTGTATGCGCTAAATGACCATTTGTGAAACTTGACAACATAAATTGTACTACTAATAGTAAATGGGTTTTTTTGCACTAGCCTTTGAGAGCTGTAACACATTTCAGTATTTTTACAATGTATTCTCTGGAAAGTGTGAATCTATTTGTCAGTTCTGAAAAAAAATATGTAACAATGAAACCTCAAAAGATGTTATGAAGTGTACAGTTTGTGATAATTTTATATTAAAAAAAGACAAGAAAAATAAAAAAACTCATTTGAAATAATTTTATTCTAATTGTTTCATATGTATTTTGAACAAGAAATAAAGTGATTAAAATTATTCTTTTTGTCTTTCTTACAACAGCAAACTGTTCAAAAGTAAATAAGGATCAGAGGATTATAATTGCAGAGGTTATTTTTCCTGTTTATTCTCTCCCTTTTCCATGCTGGAATTGTGCACCTGCAGCATATTTTCATTGTCTTATTGCCTTAAGATCAACTCTAAAAGAAAAATCAATTCATTTTCATTCTCCATGGGTGGGAAGAGGCACCTTTTGAACCTTTTGGCCCCAAGCTGAGCAGCCCTGACTATATCCAAGTGCCATGACAAGATGTTTGCTTCTCGTGAAACTGTTACTTTAAAATTCTACACCACGAAGAGGTGTAGGACATTTTTGCCACCAGCTTTGCAAGGTTCAAGACAGAATGCCTTTGAGTGAAAACAATTAAGTCAAGCAGCTCCACTATTAACTAGTACTTTGTGTAATGTCTTTCACATTATCTTCCATTTCCTGCGAAGATCATGTTTACTGTAATCTTCGAAGTCATTAGACTATATTTTAAATAATGGATTGATTATAATTTAATATTATTAAAGTATTTAAGAATATTGAAGTATTTCACTTAAGGACACAAGCCTAATTTCCATCTTCCCTATCCTTATTTGCATAATCATATAGATCAAAGAGACAAGAACTTTATCACCATTAAATATAAAAAATAGCCAGATTTGGATAGGATGCAATTTATGTTTAAACTGAATTGATGTTATAGGCAATAACAAAGCAATGATGACCCAGGGTGTACAGGTTCAAGTGTGTCAGACCGTTGTTGACACTTATAAGAACAGTACTATTTAAAGATGAAAACTAATCTGCAAGTGTTGTTTCAGTTGGATGGGGTCTTTTTCCCTTCTACCAGATGCTTAATTCCATATGATAAACATTGGAAAAAAAACACTAGTCTATCTGCAGCACTGGTGATTATTGTCTGGATAAAAATAGTATCCAAGTTCAATATACAAGCAATTGCCCTTTGGCAGGCTTTTGTAATTCTCCTGAAGTGAAATTAGATATATATTATTGAGGTTCCAATCCTGTTTCTGATCTCTGGTGGCTGAACATTAATCTATCCTAAGTCAAATTTTTGCTAAAGTGTTAAATGCAATTCAGTTCTCTGCTTCAATCCAGGGACGTGGTTCACATCTGTGATTGAAAGATTCAGTTTTCTTTGAAAACCTACTTGTCTTTCTCTAGCAATGGTAAGGTCATTTCAGTTTGCCATTGCCTTTAATCTTAATATTCCCCCTTTCATATATAAAATACTAATTTTTAGAAGGATGGGTTCTAATGGTAATGAATTTATTTTGGAAATTTATCTGTAATTTGCATAGAAACAACACCACTAAGATTTCATTGCAGTCTGTGAAATACGATTTCCACTTAAAGTCCTAATCCTTCTACTTCAGTCAATCCTGAATATATCTGCATTCCTTACATTAATCAAATTTACTAGCCCACAGAGGAGCCAGAGAACATGCAGCTTAAAATGGTGCAAAAACCAGAAGGGAAATCAGGAGCTGATTTGTCCAGAAAAGAGGATAAGAAAGGAAGGCAAACAAAGCCCTGAGAGATTTGGCCTTCGTGTTAGTTCTGCACCAAAGAAGCAAGAAATGGGTGCTGTCCAGGGCATTGTGGTGGCTTCTCCTCAGCTCCCTGACACATGGGGAGGGTGTCAGGATGGTGGTGCAGGTGTCTCCCCACTTTTTGCAGTGTCACGAGTTCAGCACTGGGTGCAAGTTGTGCTGTCTGGTGGGAAGCTTTGCCCCTACCCCTCTCCTGCACCTGCTCCTGCAAGTGCAAGGGCTGATGGCACACCATGGTAAGTTCTTTTCAGACCTCCATGTGTTTTGAGACAACCTTACAGTTTAGGTAAACTTTTGGCAGCTATCTTCTCCTTTTCAAACTTGGCTCAGAAATGCACTGAGAGTTACACCCTATTTACTTTAGGAGAGGATAATGGCTCCTGCGAAAAGCCATATTGTTCTACACTTCAGCCCAGTGAAAAACTTACATGATATAATTTTGCAAATTATTAAGTATTCTTGCACACACAGAAGAACACTGTTGTTCAGTCAATCTACACTATTACCACAAAATTAAAAGTGAGGCAGAGAGGATGAGGGATCAGAACAGAATCCAGATCTCCCATCTTCTCAAAACTACCATTCCTCTTCATGGATCTGTACTTTGCATGGAGTATATGAGAGTCTCCCAAAGGAAAGGATGTTATGCAGAAGGAGACAGAAAATGATTTTAAGAAAAAAATATAAATAGTAACCTCTTATCCTGCTAAAATACATTGGTTCAGATAAGCAGAGAGAAATATGATTTTCTCACAATATTGTCTATTCTGTCATTCTGAAAGTTGAATAAAAACCCTCCTGCCACTACTACTGTAGATAACAGAACCTGTTTTTTAAGTCAAATGACAGATATATGTATTTTCAGAACAAAAAGTCCCACATGAACTCCCTTCTCTGTGCTGCTTGTATGCAGCTCGGTTGATCACAATGCTGGTTACAGTAATACAAAACAGATAATTTTAAAAACTTTAAGTCTATGGCATTATAAAGACAAAAATCTTTATCAACTGTCACATTCTGAAGGTAGCATTTTAGAAGCAGTGCAAGTGCTCTGATTTGCAAATGCATTGATTTTTCTTAACATGCCCACTGTGCTTAAATTGCTCT